CTTCCGAACGAAGTATAATTTATATAGAAAATATATAATTTTATCAGTGTCTATCTTCCCCCACCCCTCTTGAAAATGTAGCCCCACCCCAGGAGAAAAAAGTCTGAAAGAAACACTGATTGTGGGTGTCTTACCACTCCCTCCCACTACAAAGTCACCACAACAACATCTGATTTCTGCCAGTAAGTGTAAAACAAGGAGATCACGCAAAAGTCATGCAAGAAATGTAAGAAAAAACAAAGGTTCTGTTTTTTTGTTTATTCAATAAACGACATAAGAATTTGGTATCTGAGTTTCACGTGCTGTGAGACGGTGAGCACTCATTTACAGATCGGTTCTATCACAACGATGCTTGGGCGAGTACTCAACATGCAGTTGACAGACGAGTGTATGGCCAAAATGACAGTTGACGGACAAAGTTATGACATATGACAGACGAGTGTATGGCCAACGTGATAGTTGACGGACAAGTTAATGAAAAGCATGACGGATGACAGACGAATGTGTGGCCAACGTAACAATTGATGGATAAGTTTATGACAGATGACAGATGAGTTTATGACCAACGAAGTGAGCAAGAAATGAAAAAAAAAAGTTTTTTCAAGACTTTTAAAAAAAATAAAACATAATGATTTTGTTTTTACATTTTTTTTTTGTAAATTAAGATTTTACGATTCATTCATGAAGTACGGAAAATTCCTTCATGCCAATTAGCAGAAAATACCTTCGTACAGCAAGACAAATGACAGAAAATTCATTTGTTAAAGATAGATGAAAGAAAACCGATTTGCACTACACACAATAAGACGGAAAATTTAATTAGTGTCTGACAAAGTTGGTTTATCTATTCCATTCAAAACAAACAATAAGATATCAATTGATACGGCGTTAAAGGAGAGAGAGCTACCAAGAGAGACAGCCGAGATAGAGAAGGAAGAGCCCAGAGAAAGAGAGTAAGATGAGAAGATATAGACCTGACTAGAGAGACGGTAGAGAGGGGAGAGAGGGGGAGAGAGACAACCGATGATAGATGTAGAGAGACCGTTGATATATGAAACCTATCTTTGAAGACACACGGAGATGACACGAAGAGAGAGAGAGAGAGAGAATGAATGGAGATGCAGGGAGAGGGACAGAGAGTCTGAGCGAGATACGGACGGTGAGAGACCTATAAATTTGGGGAATAAGACAAAGGAAAGGATATCAAGAGACGGGTCGGGGGGAGTAGGGGGGGGGGGACATCGAAGTCTTGAAAGTGAAAGTAAGAACATTCCTTGGATGGAGAAAGTATGATCTGAAGATGTAGAAAGTATGATCTGAAGATGTAGAAAGTATGATCTGAAGATGTAGAAAGTATGATTTGAAGATGTAGAAAGTATGATCTGAAGATGTAGAAAGTATGATCTGAAGATGTAGAAAGTATGATCTGAAGATGTAGAAAGTATGATCTGAAGATGTAGAAAGTATGATCTGAAGATGTAGAAAGTATGATCTAAAGATGGTAAAAGTATGATCTGAAGGTGTAGAAAGTATGATCTGAAGGTGTAGAAAGTATGATCTGAAGTTGTAGAAAGTATGATCTGAAGATGTAGAAAGTATGATCTAAAAATGTAGAAAGTATGACCTGAAGATGTAGAAAGTATGATCTGAAGATGTAGAAAGTATGATCTGAAGATGTAGAAAGTATGATATGAAGGTGTAGAAAGTATGATCTGAAGATGTAGAAAGTATGATCTAAAAATGTAGAAAGTATGATCTGAAGATGTAGAAAGTATGATCTGAAAATATAGAAAGTATGATCTGAAGATGTAGAAAGTATGATGTGAAGATGTAGAAAGTATGATATGAAGATGTAGAAAGTATGACCTGAAGATGTAGAAAGTATGATATGAAGATGTAGAAAGTATGATCTAGAAATGTAGAAAGTATGATCTGAAGATGTAGAAAGTATTATCTGAAGATGTAGAAAGTATGATCTGAAGATGGAGAAAGTATGATCTGAAGATGTAGAAAGTATGATCTGAAGATGTAGAAAGTATTATCTGAAGATGTAGAAAGTATGATCTGAAGATGGAGAAAGTATGATCTGAAGATGTAGAAAGTATGATCTGAAGATGTAGAAAGTATGATCTGAAGATGTAGAAAGTATGATCTGAAGATGTAGAAAGTATGATCTGAAGATGTAGAAAGTATGACCTGAAGATGTAGAAAGTATGATCTAGAAATGTAGAAAGTATGATCTGAAGATGTAGAAAGTATAATCTGAAAATGTAGAAAGTATGATCTAAAGATGTAGAAAGTATGATGTGAAGATGTAGAAAGTATGATCTGAAGATGTAGAAAGTATAATCTGAAGATGGTGAAAGTATGATCTAAAGATGTAGAAAGTATGATGTGAAGATGTAGAAAGTATGATCTGAAGATGGTAAAAGTATGATCTGAAGATGTAGAAAGTATGATCTGAAGATGTAGAAAGTATGATCTGTAGATGTAGAAAGTATGATCTGAAGGTGTAGAAAGTATGATCTGAAGGTGTAGAAAGTATGATCTGAAGTTGTAGAAAGTATGATCTAAAAATGTAGAAAGTATGATCTGAAGGTGTAGAAAGTATGATCTGAAGATGTAGAAAGTATGATTTAAAAATGAAGAAAGTATGATCTGAAGATGTAGAAAGTATGATCTGAAGATGTAGAAAGTATGATCTGAAGATGTAGAAAGTATGATCTAAAAATGTAGAAAGTATGACCTGAAGATGTAGAAAGTATGATCTGAAGATGTAGAAAGTATGATCTGAAGATGTAGAAAGTATGATATGAAGGTGTAGAAAGTATGATCTGAAGATGTAGAAAGTATGATCTAAAAATGTAGAAAGTATGATCTGAAGATGTAGAAAGTATGATCTGAAAATATAGAAAGTATGATCTGAAGATGTAGAAAGTATGATGTGAAGATGTAGAAAGTATGATACGAAGATGTAGAAAGTATGACCTGAAGATGTAGAAAGTATGATATGAAGATGTAGAAAGTATGATCTAGAAATGTAGAAAGTATGATCTGAAGATGTAGAAAGTATTATCTGAAGATGTAGAAAGTATGATCTGAAGATGTAGAAAGTATGATCTGAAGATGGAGAAAGTATGATCTGAAGATGTAGAAAGTATGATCTGAAGATGTAGAAAGTATGATCTGAAGATGTAGAAAGTATGATCTGAAGATGTAGAAAGTATGATCTGAAGATGTAGAAAGTATGATCTGAAGATGTAGAAAGTATGACCTGAAGATGTAGAAAGTATGACCTGAAGATGTAGAAAGTATGATCTAGAAATGTAGAAAGTATGATCTGAAGATGTAGAAAGTATAATCTGAAAATGTAGAAAGTATGATCTAAAGATGTAGAAAGTATGATGTGAAGATGTAGAAAGTATGATCTGAAGATGTAGAAAGTATAATCTGAAGATGGTGAAAGTATGATCTAAAGATGTAGAAAGTATGATGTGAAGATGTAGAAAGTATGATCTGAAGATGGTAAAAGTATGATCTGAAGATGTAGAAAGTATGATCTGAAGATGTAGAAAGTATGATCTGAAGATGTAGAAAGTTTGATCTGAAGATGTAGAAAGTATCATCTGAAGATGTAGAAAGTTTGATCAGAGGATGAAAAAGCCTTTGTAGATACATTTCAATATACGGTAAGACTTATCCCCAATAGCCACAGTTCAGTTAAGTCATCCACAAATTTCAATCATACAGCAAAGAACAGGGGTCAATCAATCGAAACGTTTGTTCATCCATACAAATTTAGATGATTTAAAATCAAACAATCATTGTTTTCTTTTCAAATAAGCAACAAATTAATAAGCAAAAGAAATTAATAAAATGTTGAAACATATAATTATAATGCAAATTCTCATATTATTTTAAACAAAGAAATACAAAACAAACATGAAAATTTGAGAAAAATAAAATATTATTTTGCCCAACACCCAAGGTTTAAAAAAAAATTGTGTATGAAACTAGGTTGAAATTATCAAGTACAATTCAATACACAAAATCGAAAATGGAATACATTTCGTGTTAAAAATATAAAAATGAAGTACAACTCGTTAAAAGGAAAGTTAGATTTTATATTACTTATTACAAAAATGAAAAAAAAAAACGACGAGTAAATCGTCGGATTTCCCTAATACGGATCTCGTTTATATTCCCTTAAAAAACAAATTTAAGTTAAAACGTAATCTTTAACCACAGATGTTAAGAATGAATTATTTACAGAATTATTGTTTATTATAAGAAGAAGTTTAGAACTCTCAACTTGTAAGGTCAGAGTTATGTAATGCTCATGTAGGACTTGTTGTATAAACATTTAAAGTCAATAAGGAACTGCTAATGATACTCACACTTGTGCTTTTGTTGTGGGTGCGAACTAAATCACTCACACACTGTAGTATTTAGGCTACCCGGACAAAAGCGATGTTCAGAAAAACTTTTAGTTAGCCAAAGTAAGAATAGAAAAACTTAAGTATGCTGGGTAATATTGCTGAAAACTTTTAATTAGGCCTAGCCAAGGTAATATTAAAGAAAATGTTTACATTTACATACCGAAAGTCATAATGCACACAATTTTTAGTTAGCCAAAGTGAAAATAGAGAAAACATGTGTATGCTGAGTAATATCGATGAAAACGGTTAAGTAGCCGAATTGATATTTAAGAAAATAATTAAATGGGAAAATTGGGTTAGCCAATTGTAATAAAATTTATTTAGAAAATATTAAGCCAAAATAATGATAAAATATGCTTTAAATACTTAAGTATTTAAAATACCTGTTTTAGTTAGCCATACAAATGGGTACAACTGCATTTTAAGTTAGATTTTAATTTAAGAGTAAAACAACTGCGGGAACATACATCACTAACGCAAGAATTGTAAAACAATTTATAGACTCTCATCATTATAGAGGAGACAGTTTTTTAGATTAGAAATCATCATTGGTATCAAAATATTCTAAACAGCCGGAGACTTGTAAATAACACAGCACTTGTGTACCCTACCCCTCACATATAGTTCCCAGGCCCTGACCCTTAAAGTTTTATAATATGAGCAACGTTCCATCATAAGTTCCAACTTCTGGCTCATTAAGTTGTAACAATGATTGGCAGGCTACCTAAAATAAACAAAAAAATAATACTTTTCAAAATGGGAAGTTATATACTAAGTAGAGAAACTTATGTGATTTGTAAAATACATTTTTAAATAAAATACGCCATTTGTCAAAATATAACTGCAAAAAGTTTTAACAAGATGTGAAAATATGGACGATACACATTTAAAAACAACGTAATACGTTTGAATAGACTTAACAATTTTAAAATTGAAAAACACACTTATAATATTTTTTTATCTTTCATGTCAGGTTTGGGTTATAACACCCCATGCTGGGAGGAAAAACACATTTTGTACATTATAGTTTGTTTTTACATGTGAACGTTTCAAACTGAACGCCAATATACAATTGAATGGTAGCCTGAATTTGACCTTTCCTGAATGTACTCTTTCCCGAATCGTTGAAAGACTTTATAATACACTCAGAGCTTAAAAGTGGAAGAAATGAATTACACATTTATCGGACTTGGTTGGGCGCCCTCACAAATAATCCTCCCGACAAGGGGGGTCTTCCCCAGGGGCCGGGGTACACCCGTTGACCCGGACAACATCCGGGTTCTCGTGAACCGCTTCCGGCTGTCTCTGAGAGGTAGTCTTGCGATTGAGGTGGATCGCTTCTGGCTCCGGGTGCCTGTCTAGAAACTTGCAGAAAATCTTGATGAAAGTTGTCCTGAACACGATGCTCAGGGAGCAGTAGAGCATGAAGCTGCAGGCGGAGTTGACGTGCAGGAGGGCGTCCGTGATCTCCCTGACGCCCTTCACCAAGTTGTCCTCGTCCACGTAGCCCTTCCCGAAAAACGTGGACAAGATGGCGTCTGGGGTGATACACACAATGAACATGAACACAATAGCAATCAGCATGAGTGTGATTCGGTTTCTGGAGGTGAACTTTTTCCCTTTAACCCTTTCTTTCCGAAGTTCGTTAATGATGCTAATGTTCAGGAAGACGAGAATAAACACGGGAACTATCCCCCGGAGTGAATTGTGTATCCAGACGTAGGGAACATAAAAGGCTTTGTTGTTCCCGAACGTCGTGGGAACTATTAAAGAACAAGTCTGGTTGATGGAACTATCGAAGACTGTTTTCATCTCGTATTTCAGCGCGGCGGGGATGGTGATGACGATCATGATGATGAAGACGAACGTGCAAATGAGTTTCGCGCGCCGGGTCGTGCAGAGTTCTTTAGCGCGGGATGGGTAGCAGACGGCAATGTAGCGTTCCACAGCCACGCTGACGGTTAGCCAGGCCGTCACGCAGACGGACATGTTGAAAACGTAATGCGCGACCGGGTAGAGACTGCTCATCATTTCTTCGGCTAGGTCAGATTCTTTGAGAGCGATGGCGACGATCATGAAGTATAAGGCATCGTTAAGGAGCTTGATGGTGTCGGATACCGCCAGAGAGGAGAGATACACGTTGGTTGAGGTCCGCATGTCGCGGTGTTGAAACACGATCAGTGCCAGGATGTTTCCAGCGATGCCGACGATGCATCCGATGGGGTAGACGATGAGCCCGGTGATGTACCTGGCCGTGTTGTAGAACTGGATGTACTCGTCAGACGTGTTGCAGGTGAGAGGCTTCTCATGGCTGCGGTAGAGGGCGGACGTCGAGAGGTTGGTCACGACGCTGAGCAGGGTCGAGTCCTCAACCAGGTAGGGATTCATCGTGAGCTCTGTACAGTTGCAGGCGTCGGTGGCATGACGTGCTGCAGGTTAGCTCTGAGCTTAAGGTGTGGGTGAGTTCGGAGTTTATGTAGCGGGTGCTATCTGAGCTCTGGTGGTGTAAGATATGAGCTTATCGTGCAAGTAAGCTCTGAGATAATTGGCGAAGGTAAGCTAGGAGCTTACGATACCTGGGAATCCTGAGCTAATGGTACGCCGGTGAGCTCTGAGTTTATGTCCCAGGTAAGCTCTGATGTTATCGCGCAGGTAAGATGTGAGTTAATTCACGCGGATGAGGTGGGAGCTTATGGTACCGGTAAATCCTGAGCTTATTGCGCCGAGTTGAGCTTTGAGTTAAGAAGCAGGTGAGCTACGAGCTTTGAAGTTCTAGAAATCAACAAAGTCACAGTGGAGTGTTGACTGACGAACAACGCTGTGTTGACTTCAGACTGTCTGCTGAGCTGTCTGTTGACTTCAGACTGTCTGCTGAGCTGTCTGTTGACATCAGACTATCAGAGGTCAAGACTTGAAGATGACCTGAGGAGGACAGTCAAAATGTTCAGTGTTAAAGACAAATGGCATCGACATTTATTACTTTCATATATATATATATATATATATATATATATATATATATATATATATATATATATATATATATATATGTATATGTATACATATATATATATATATATGTATATATATGTATATACATATATATATATATATATATATATATATATATATATATATATATATATATATATATATATATATATATATATATAACTATATATATATATATATATATATATATATATATATATATATATAATACACAATATATACATTAGAAGTCAGCTGACACTACAACATATGACGGCGGTACTTGTGTTTACTTGTCCCCCAGTGAATGATACCGTGTGAGCAAGCAACATCGGACCGGCGCTCACTGAACGACAGTTACAACACGACGACTGGCCAGATACGCGCTGGCGGGTGAGCCACGTGCCGGGTTGGCTGAGCGCGAGCCAGGTGAGTGTTGGTGAGGGCTGCCGTGAGAGTGGGGGGGGTGTAAGGTGTAAGAGGTGGCTTACAGACAATTGTACTGAACCATTTGTTTTGTTATGTAGGATTTAAGCACATGTTCTACACTATTGATTTAGGTGAGGCTAAACAAGTACGAAGAAATTCGATTACACATGCATTGTTTTAATTAAGACAAAATGCTTTATTCATATTGTTAATTATTATTTATACATCTTTCATATGTATGTGTTGTAAATTTAATTCCCCTTTCGAATCTGGCGGTTCAGGCTGCAGATGAAGTAGATTCTACCTGTTTCTGCGACATCGACGGTTAAAAATTGTACGTTTGTGTTTTTATGTGTGTGTTCCCGCGCAACAATAAAATGACACGATTTGATAAATTATAATTCTAAATGAGACTTGACAAAGTTTAAAAGACTATGCCGTTATTGATTTCAATAAGGAAAATAAATTAAAAATAATAATTAGATAAAAACCAGTTTCTGTTTGCGCATTGAAAAAAATTTATTTTAAATGTAAGTAGGCCTATCTAAAGACTGATATATATATATATATATATATATATATATAGGCCAATCATAACTTTTTACATACAAGCATATCTAGACTGTATATATAGGCCAATCATAACTTTTTACATACAAGCATATCTAGACTGTGGGTCTACAACAAATTCGGGTATTTGTCGCATCCGGGCAAGTGTCCATTCGGGCATTTGTCGCATTCGGGCAAGTGTCCATTCATGAAATCGGTCTTCGGGCTAACGGCATTCGGGCAAGTGTCTTTCGGGAAAACGTTCGGCTCCCATAGACTGTATATATATAGGCTTAATGAAGTAACAATTGTTTCTTTAGATATCCATAAAATCCATTTTTTCCTCCCACCCACATCATGTGTACAAATGTCAAGATGATTTTGGATATAACCACAAATGTCAAGATGATTTTGGATATAACCACAAATGTCAAGATGATTTTGGATATAACCACAAATGTCAAGATGATTTTGGATATAACCACAAATGTCAAGATGATTCTGGATATATCCACAAATGTCAAAATGATTTTGGATATAACCACAAATGTCAAGATGATTCTGGATATATCCACAAATGTCAAGATGATTTTGGATATAACCAGAAATGTCAAGATGATTCTGGATATAACCACAAATGTCAAGATGATTCTGGATATATCCACAAATGTCAAGATGATTTTGGATATAACCAGAAATGTCAAGATGATTCTGGATATAACCACAAATGTCAAGATGATTCTGGATATAACCACAAATGTCAAGATGATTTTGGATATAACCAGAAATGTCAAGATGATTCTGGATATATCCACAAATGTCAAGATGGTTCTGGATATGTCAGCATCACGTCTACAAATGTCAAGATGATTCTGGATATGTCAGCATCACGTCTACAAAGGTCAAGATGATTCTGGATATGTCAACATCACGTCTACAAAGGTCAAGATGATTCTGGATATGTCAACATCACGTCTACAAAGGTCAAGATGATTCTGGATATGTCAACATCACGTCTACAAAGGTCAAGATGATTCTGGATATGTCAACATCACGTCTACAAAGGTCAAGATGATTCTGGATATGTCAACATCACGTCTACAAAGGTCAAGGTGATTCTGGATATGTCAACATCGCGTCTACAAAGGTCAAGATGATTCTGGATATGTCAACATCACGTCTACAAAGGTCAAGATGATACTGGATAGTTTTAAGAGCTTGTCTCTGAGAACGGAAATTCTCTCCTGTACCTCGGTTAATCCCCCCCCCTCTTTTCACGTCTTACAGAAAACAAGCCCGACGGATCTCAGAAGGACATGGATTAGGGCGGATTAGCTGAGGTCACAGCGCATGCGCAAAGATTGAAAAAAAAAAACAGCCATAAACTCCTAGGTGTCAGTGGAGAGATCGCCTGTATTTATCCTGATGGGGTGGGGTGGGGGGGGGGGGGTAGGTGTGTGTGGGGGGGGGAGATAGGTGTGTGTGTGTGTGTGTGGTTGGGTTTTTGGTTGAATTACGTGAAGGGGGAGAAAGTAAAGGGTTAATTTCCAAGACCAAAGGTCAGATATTAGGTCACTAATATATTAGGTCACTGACTAGTGTTTCTGTTAATGGATATAATTATATTAAAATGGTTCTGAATATATCCACATCACGTGTACAAGATGATAGGTCAGATATTAGGTCACTAATATATTAGGTCACTGACTAGTGCCTCTGTTCATGGATAGAATTATGTTTAGACAGTGAAGGGTTAATAAATATGTAGATCTAGACGTGTTTTAACATAATTATTACTTTGTGCTGGTTATTTCCCATTTACTAATTTGAGTTAACTAAGAGAGACTATTCATATCTATTATCTTAAGTGTTGTTAGAAGTAATAGCAAGTTCGACATAAATTGAATAATAATTGTGTAATACATAATTATACCTGATAGTTAATACTTTTATGGTTTTTTGTGTAGTTGCTAAATTTCTTACAATTTTGAATTTTCATTAACTCTAGTTGAAATAGAAACACCATTAGTTTTTGTAATTCTTAAGTTTTAGACACTGAAAAAGATCCATTTGAATTCGATTTACTGGGAACCACAGTGCACCGCAATTTATAAGTACCCCACCTTATTGTTCATTTCTCTGAAACTGTGTTAAATTTGCATTTTCGGGTTTTTTTTTAAATTTAAATTGTAATCAGACGTTTTGTATTAGATCTATGTATAAGTAAACCATTTTAAATGAATGAAAATAGGCTACAAGTAAGAAGAAAGAATAACTATTGTAAATCTGTATCAGTCCTCACAAGCCGATGATGAAAACTGTAATACTAAAGCGAACATGCAAGGCAAACTGACGCTTTAAATTACATGTCTGAGGCGGGATAAAAGAAAAGTAACCCACCTTCAATGAATGAAAGTACATGTCAGAAAGAAGTATTACTATTGTGAAGCTGTATATTTCCTCACAAGCCGATGATGAAAACTGTCATATCAAAGTGAAAATGGTAAGGCAATCTGACGCTGAAAATTACATGTCTGAGGCACACACACACGCACACATTTTTTTCTGAATGTGGATACGCATCTAATACGAGACAATCAAATGACTATATAATTGTATACCTGTAGAATCACACCAAGAATACGAGATAATCAAATGACAATTGTATGCCTGTAGAATCACACCAAGAATACGAGATAATCAAATGACAATTGTATGCCTGTAGAATCACACCAAGAATACGAAATAATCAAATGACAATTGTATGCCAGTAGAATCACACCAAGAATACGAGATAATCAAATGACAATTGTATGCCTGTAGAATCACACCAAGAAGCATCTGCGCATGCTTTTCTAGAAAACGATTTCTCAAAAAACTGCCTTGATCTATAAACTATATAACCTCTGTTCAACTACTTTTTAGCGCAATTTCCATACTGGGGGATTGCGATTATTAACTCGTCATTTCTGGATGGATGGATGGATGGATGTGTCCGCAGCGTGTCCGCAGCTTTAAGTCGTATCTCCTCCTCAACGAAGCAATATCGAGGACTAGTTCCAAAAGCAAATATGTTAAGCAAGTTCCGAGGATGAACATAGGCCAAAAAAATTCCCGGAATTCCTTCCTGGATTTCCCGGAAAAGCCAAAAAACCTCTAAAAAAATGCAGTTTTTGGCCCATATCTCGGCAACCAGACCACTTAGCGACTTGAAACATTTACGAATCGATTCCTGCCATAGTTTAGAACAATATTGCCGAAGAAAGTTTTCAAAAATATCCTTTCGTTCGGTCACAAAAAATTAATTAAGAATTTTCAAACTGAGCATCGTGTAGGCCTAGGATGATATTTTTAATTTAAACTGAGCATCGTGTAGGTTTTTAGCACACAAAAAATATCCCTTCGTTCGGTCAAAAAAATAAAAATTGTTATGGATAACATAAGGAAATTGCGCTTAAATTGTCACTAGACTTTTTATTAACTTGTTTAATCGTATTTAAATGTGTATCATGAGCTTAATTAGATATTACATTCTCTCTTTCTTCCTCACTAATGTTGCCGTCTCTTCAACTCCTATTTGGCTGGCACCGGACTGGTGGATGTTGATCTAAAGTGGAAAGGCTACATTTTGGAAAGCATTACTTTATCATGGTCTCAGGAAAACATAGCTAAAATAGAAAGCTTATAAAAGAAATAAACTGGGAGTGATCTCCCCTAAACTTACTCCAATATTCTTATATAACACTACTACTCGGAAAATAGACATGATTTATAATTACTTAAACTTTTAAAAATAGAAAAGAATCTCGTAGAAAAAAGAATTGCGCACCAAGCGAACGCCATAACAAAATATGCATAATAATGAGGAAT